TGTTTACTTAATGTCTTGATATTTTTCTTTTTACATTTCGTGGCTCTTAACAGGGTGAAGGCTCCACATAATCAGTAACCCCCGAAGATAAATTGTTATTGACTTTTGGATCTAAGTGAAGCTGTTCAATCGATAAAACTATTGTTCCTAATTTTTATAACACATTTTGATGTTTTAGATGCGTGTTGGCTTATTTGGTTACCTATACAGCTTATAATATTTTGGTTTGGGTTGGCACAACTGTTTAATTTAGGTAAAACAGCGGGAAAATGCACATTTAATTCCCCAAATATTTGAAATCGGCAGTTTTAATACTCAAGTATTGCTCGCGCAGAATTATTCCCCAACTAATAGTTGACTGCGCGAAATTAGGAACGAAATAGTCAACCCGTTAACTAGTTAACGGAAAGATAACGGTTTCCGTCAACTTTTTAACGGTTGACTATTTCATTCCTAATTTCATACAATCAACTATTAGTTGGGGAATAATTATGCGCAAGAAATACTTGAGTATTTAATTTGCCGATTTGAAAATACTTGAGGAATTTAAAAAATCAATATATATTTTTTTTAAATATATAATTTAAAAGATTTTCAAGTCAGATACAATTAATATTCGAGATTTTTACTTTTTGAAAGAGATTTTTGAGTTTTTACAATGACAAGTACAATAATAAAAATAATTATAGTTGCAGTTTATTGTTGATATATTTCATGTTTATAAAATAACTTAAGATGATTTTTAAAATAATTTCAAATTAAAAAGATTCTCAATTTGAACAAATATACAATGGAACAAATATACAAGATACCTTTTACTGAAAATGGATTTTGGAGTTTTACAAAAGAAAATAAAATAAGATAACGCATTGCATTGCATTGCATTGCATTGATGATGTACAATATATGATAGTCTAAAGTAGAGGTAACTACATATGATTATTTAAAGTATGAGTAGAAACTTTGGTTATTTTTGGTTCGGTTCGGTTCGGTTTGGTTAATATAGTTCTCGAAATTTTCCATGTAAAGTAAACCATAATTAGTTTGGTTTGGATCAGTTTCAAATTTGGTTTAATTGTTTTCCTTTAGTTTAGTTATTTTAATAAAAATCATGTTTTATGTAAATTAATTATAATATAAAATTGAAAAAAAAAATCTGAAAATCATTATTTTTTATAAGAACACAATCAAACCAAAGTTAACTAAAGTAAATAAATTTTTTTTTTTTAAAAAGCCTTAATAAAGTTAATCGTTAGTGTTAGGATTTAAGTATATTGTATAACGTTAATAGAGACTTTAGTTATCAAATAATAACAAAAGCACATTGTTTTCTCGGTTCGGTTTAACTCGGTTTAGTTTTGTTTGGAGCGATTTCGGTTCAGTTGGTTCGGTTTCATTCGGTTCGATATTTTTTGTCATCCCTAGTCTAAAGTAAAGATCTAATTTACAACATATGATTCCGTAAATGATATGAAATCATCCATATGTGATTTTATAAACATGAAGTACATCAACAATAAATTGCAACTATAACTATTTTTATTATTGTACATGTTATTGTAAAAACTCAAAAATCTCTTTCAAAAAGTAAAAATCTCGAATATTGATTGTATCTGACTTGAAAATCTTTTAAATTATGTATTTTTTTTAAAAATATTGATTTTTTAAATTCCTCAAGTATTTTTAAATCGGCAAATTAATTACTCAAGTATTTCTTGTGCAGAATTATTCCCCAACTAATAGTTGACTGTATGAAATTAGGAACGAAATAGTCAACCGTTAAAAAGTTGACGGAAACCGTTATCTTTCCGTTAACCAGTTAACGGTTGATTATTTCGTTCCTAATTTTGTGCAGTCAACTATTAGTTGGGGAATAATTCTGCACAAGCAATACTTGAGTATTAAAATTGCCGATTTCAAATACTTGGGGAATTAAATGCCCATTTTCCCGTAAAACTGCTTATAATATTTTGGTTTGGGTTGGCACAACTGTTTAATTTTTATATATAACTAGATCTTTTGGCCGCGCTACGCGCGGCTAGTCTTTTAAACAAAATTTCTAATGATACTGTTTTATATATAATATATTATATAATTAAATTTATTATTAAAATAAAAAAATATAATATTAAATTAAATAGAAAAAGATAACGATTGACAAAATCATTGTAGTTAATGCAAGTAAGAGTTTTATAAGTAATACTAATAATACACAATTGTTTTTTACAAAATATAGATTTTCTAGTTTTTTAACAAAACCTTCATTTTATTTTTTGTATAATAACTTACACAATAATTACTGTAATATTTTAATTTGTAGGTTTATATTTATATCTTCATAATGTTGGTAAAAAATAATCAATATCAAAATCTGAAAATTAAGTATATAAAATGAATTAAAAATTAAATATATAAAATGATTAAAAATTAAGTATATAAAATGAATTAAAAATTAAGTATATAAAATGAATCAAATTTTATTTAAATTTAAAATGATATTATATAAATTTAAGATTATATATATTTGTTGTTATGAATAATGTTTAATTATTCTGTTCAAGATGATATTGATTTATCCTTGCCATCAATGTTTTAAATACCAAACTGAACATTAACATGACATTGCAGTTAATTCAATTGTCGCACCAGTCCAACTGGGTTATAAATTTAGTTTAATTTTAAGTGAAATATCTATATATATGTATAACTATCAAATTATTTTTATATTGTGGAAGAGAAGCATTGGTCAGAGCCATGGTGAGAGATGGCACGAGCAAGGAGAGCTTGAGAGAGTTGAAAAATTAGGGATTTTAAAAAATGAATTGGGACTTTTTCATGTTTGATTAGGGTTTTTTGTTTTATTAAAATGGCGTCATTTTAGGATTTATGCTGTTAAGTATTAATTAACAGAAAATTAATTAGAGTGTCAAGATTTTTTTCTTATTTTTGAAAGTTCATAACTAAAAAATCGATTTTTACATATTTGCAATGTCACTTTATTCTACTTTGTATAATGGTTTTTTATTTTATTTTAATTTCGGTCCAATTTACATTGCCACTCATCTGAGCATAATTTTCCTTAGAGTTTTTCCCATTTTTTTGTGTTTCATTTTATTTTATAGTTCCGCATATCTAAAAAATTCCTAAATTGTGCTTAGTGATATTAAAATTTACTTCACATTGAAGCTTAGTGATATTAAATGATTAATTCGTAGTTTATGTTTATACTAAATTCGAAAACATATAGTAATACAAATTGTATGTAACCAACATTCTTACGCATTTGTTTTGTTTTGAAGTCCATCAATATACCTCTAGAATTTATGCTTTACTATCCCCTCTGGGCGACAAATATGCCCATGTTGTACTGAAAGTGGTATTTCATATGAATCATATCATATGCTTTTTTGTATCCTTTCATGCGTTTTTGTGTGTGGTTTTTTAACACTTTGATAATCACTTTTATATTTTTTTATAGTAATGTTGATATTAAGTGAATGTTTAAATTGTGAAGAAAAGTAGTGAGTCTCATAAACTCATAAGTCATATCACTATTTCATTATTTTCTTTCTCATCTATGGTGTCTTGCAAACAGATAATACAAAACAATAAATAACCCAATGCATGTAGAACAAATCATGTTCACGCTCTTGACAATGTTATGAGAACTGTAGCCTCCTCCATTGCCTACTTCCTCATATTCAAAAGATTGAAGCAATAACAAATGCATGAAAGGATACAAAAAAGCATATGATATGATTCATATGAAATACCACTTTCAGTACAACATGGGCATATTTCTCCTGACGTCACTGCTTTCTTCTGAAGCTTCACCATTCATAGAAGGAACTCTCTGTCTGCAACACACATTCACAGGAGGCACAATGGCATTACCTTGGCGAGGGTTCATCATCTATACGTAGTGCGGTACTTACTTTGATTTTCTTCAAGATGAGCAATATGACTTTTAAAATTAGCAACCCCACTGTAAGTAACAATATGAGCAATATGATTACATATCTTGTAGTTCTCAAATTGTAAATTAGCTCACCTAGAGTACATGAAGCAAAGTTGATCACCACTGAATATGGAAGCCTTCGTACACAACAGTGATACACATAAGATGACTGGAGTTGACCTTATTCTCGGGTCTTTTGGATGCTTTTGATCGGTTCAGTCTGATGTTTCACAGAATCATGATACTCCTCCTCCTTGGAGAACTCATTACCTGCACTAAACACAGCAGTAATAACTCCCTCTACCAAGATATTATAGCAAAACCAAAATACCTTATAACGCTACCGCCTCACCAATACTGGGATCATATTACTCTTCATGCGCTAACTCTTTTTTTGACTCATAGGTGCCTCATTCAGCTCTAAGAGATTTCAAGAATTCAAGTTGTTTTCGTGCAACAATATTGCTTTTAATCTCGGTGGTTCTGCCACGGGTTGGCAAAGGTAAAAAGCTCAACTATTGAAACCGGTTCAGCGAAACTTATTCTCTCATATTTAGAGAATGAATCCACCACCTGCATAATTGCAATACCCACATTTCACAAAACTGTTACCACTGAAACAGTAACATAACCAGTAAAGAATATTGTTGCTATGGAAACTTAGGTCTTCAAACTGGTCTCAGTCTATGAATAACATTAACCAAGTATAATTTATTCCATTATTGAATTGTTTATATGAATTCAGTTTGCTGGATCAGTTAATCCGGATAACACGCTCCTAGACAAAAATTTAGATAACTACCAAGGACATACCGTAGAAATGGTTTCTTGTTCTGTCTTGGAGCATTCTTCTTTGCAGAAAAAACACATAAACTGTAATATAAAAGTAAGGTTTATGTATAAGGACATATGACAGCTACTGGAAAAGAGTTTATCAAGTAGGACAAGCAAGTCCTATTACTTTACCCAAGTAGACAGCTTTAAACTTTCAAGCAATAAATGTGAAAATTCCAAGAAAAAAAAAACCATTACAGTATGACTCCTAGTTTGTGAGCTCTGGAACAAACTTCTCAAATGCATCTAATCTGACTCTACTCTGGATCTCAGGCAACATAAGCCACTCTTTTGTAGTAGTATTTCCACCACTGTCCTAGGAAAATATCACATTAGTAAATATGATATCAGTGAGTGTACAGACTTTGACATAAAATCAAATGTCCTATAATGAGAATGAGAAGCTTATAACACTTTCCATGCAACTGAGAAACGGTGTTGTAGTAGTATAATATTTTAGATCAGTTAGCACAACGAAAATGTTTCAAATATGCAAACCCAAATTTGGAAATGTAGATGAAACGGAGTATTGAGCTAGGTTTGCTATCACTAATGAAACCATTGATTGCAAACCTTTTCAGATTGCCGATGACAGAGATCACAGAAGAGAAAATTAATTGGAGTGCACCTTCGGATAAACGTTCTCCCGCAGTTATGGAAACATCGGCTCCACTTCCACTTGGAACTCTCCTTTGTGTGTTTTGCTTACCAAGCTTATGATATCCACCTGTGTGTCCTGCAACAACCATTTGACTGTGCTCACAATGCCAAACACTCAAAATCATTGACTGTGCTCACAATGGAACACTGCCGAAAAACAGGTCTGTGTTAAACTAATTAAAACAAACTAAGCATGTTTGGACCAAATAATATTTTTTTTCTCACCTCTGCCTCGATGAAAGACAGTAACTGAGGATCCTTTATGGACTTCCGAGCTATATCTCCAGCGTTTTGGGGTAAGTAATAAGTTGTATGTAAAGCACAAGGATTAACATAAAAAAAAATCATGTCATTATTCACTCACATAAATACACAAACATCAAACATGATTCAAGAGTCCAAATACCAAGTGTCAAGCATTCAAGCGGCTTTTGAAAGAACTGTCCAAAAAGGTAGATAGGCTCTTCAAGTGACTTCAGTTCCAGAGAGTTAAATGAGTTGAAGATCTGTTCCAAGTTGTTATATTTAAATACACTCTCACAAAAAATTAGTATTCCTTTCCAATTTTAAGGAAAAGTACTTAACCTCTAATGGAGAAGTATTCCTCAACTATTTTAAACTCTCCAATTAATAGTTCTAAACAGGAGCAGCTTCGTCGAAAGCTTCTCAACGGTGTAAGAGACGTCGGAGAAGTCATGGTGAGGAGCCTCCTCCGTCATGCTTCTTCTCCATCCTCCTCACCAAGAACAAAAACAAATCTGAATCAAAACTCACACACACACACAAACAGAGAAGAGAGAGAGAGAGGAAACCGTGAGGGAGGTCCGGCGAGAGAGAGAGAGAGAGGCACAGGAGAGAGAGAATCCGGCGAGAGAGGAGACCCGAAGGCGAGTAAGAGAGAGGAAGTGAAACGTGGAGATCTCTGAAGAACAACACTTCATCAGAGATGGATTAGAGGAAGCAAGAAAAAGGAAGAGGAAGCGGCGAAGAAGTATTCCATGTCTCATTTTTTAGGGTTCGTGAACAAAGC